AACTTGGACCTCCAAGCAATGGAGAAAATTACAATTCGAACCGTAGCCCATAAGGCCACAAATGAAGATGATGATGATATTATCACCTCTTAAGAACAATATCTCTATGCAATAACAATTATTCTTGGAGTACACACTTGACACCCTCTTTTGTGTACATCAACAATTGCTTTCTTTTTCTAAATGAACTGTCCGTGTACACAAGCAACTATGATGGGTTTACATTTTGTTTACACTTTACAATCACCTTTATAGGACAATTGATGGTTTTTTTAAAACAAGATATCTGTGTAAATTAGAATTTGTCATGTGTGTACAAACAAAATTTTTCATCCAATAACCCAAATGATTAATTCCCTAAATAAGAGCAAAATATAGAGAAAACACAAAAGTAGGAATATATTTGTAGAATTTCCCAAATAAGAGTATTATTTGAAGCTTGGACAAGGTTAACCCTGCCTAAGTTGTCGTTGATCGCCAGAATCTGTCAAAAATATCCATATTTGTTATATCGCCGCCGTCAATTCCGCCGCCGTCAATTCCGTTGCCGTCAATTCCGCCGCCGATCGGTGGATGAAAGTTGCCGCCACCAAGAAATTCTCAGAATGCTTCTGCCACCACACCATTGCCGTCGTCTGCCTCCACCACCACCGAACTGCCTCACCATCAACGGACTGCCCCGGTTGCCCAATCAAACTAGAGGACAACTAATTAACTATATTACGAATATTTGAGTACAAATTAATGTTTACTTATATTTAGGAAGGATAAGGATTTTACTTATATTTAAAGAAAAGTTGTACGGAGTATTTTTTTTAAATCAATAACTCAATTTTATTAATAAGGGTAACCAGAAACATAACAATCAAAAGCCGAAGCATTACAATCACAACGTCCAATGCTACACTAGGGTGAGACAAAGAACAAAAAGCCATATAAAAGCTATCATGTTCGCTAACCCTGGAACTATGTAGACTCGTCCCGCAATTTGACTGCTCGTGCTACTCGAAATAGGTCCGGTTTGACCAGCCACCGAAAAGGATTTGTTAAACTTGCCGGTTTTTCCAGCCACCGGTAAGGAGCCAAGTGCAGAAATTGTTCCGGTTTCACCAGCCACCGGAAAGAAAGCAATCCATTCACTCCCATCTTCCTTGTTCGGCGGTGGTTCAGGAGGAGTGCGATCGGCCTCTATATTGATACACAAGAAATCTCGATTCAGGATCGCTAGAGAAGCCAATACACATCTCTTACTAACACCCATGAACACCCGACCGATGATGGGGGGAATATAAATCTGGCGAGCGACTATTCGCCACTGGAAATAATGTCTCTAGACAACGCTAGGAAATAAACGTATGCATAGAAGTGAATATATTGATCTAACGAAACTTTTTTCATGATTGGGATCAAAAGAAAATTGAACAAAGAGAGAAAGAAGAAGAGGAGGCGACTAGGGTTTCCCCTTCGCCGCTCCTCTCCTAAGGTAGCGATTTTTTAACGGAGTAAATATACAAATTTTCTTTTACTAGAAACCGAAAAAATTCAAATAAGAAAAGTAGAACGTGTGTATTGTTTTACTCGTAAGGAAAATTACTAAAATCCAAACCTAATGACTCATTCTAAACCCAAAAGATAAAGTAATGATGTACAATTAGGATATGAGGTATTTACCCAAATGGGACTAAATGCATCTTTAATTGCTAAAATAGGATTCAATATAAAAAATTTCCTAAATAGGAGTTATTATATGTAACAGGACAAAAACACCCTTGAAGCTAGGAAATCACTGCTGCCGACCAGAGTGTCGGGCCTCCTCTAGTCGCCGGTATCCGCCAGTCGACGCCGCCACGTCAAAACCGGCCTCTGCTACAGATCTGACCGCCGCCGTAGATATGGTCTTTTCCGCTGCAGATCCGGCGGCGCCGTTGTTCCGCCGGCGTCCAGCCGCTATTTTTGTAGATCCTGCCACTTTTGTAGCAAATTCGGCATCTGCCACTCAAATCTGGCCTGTATCGTTGCAGATCTAGCCGTTGCCTACACGAATGCCAAAGTTTTTATCAAAATGCCAACATGAATCTAGAATGCTATTTTAATGGCATTTTCAAAGAAAAAATAGAAAAAGTTGTAGAATAAGAATGCCATTTTTATGGCATTTTCGGAGTTGAACTTGGCATTTTTTTACCAATAATGAAGAAATGGAGCACATTCAACGAAATAGAAGAGGGAGGAGAGGACTAGAGAAGAGGGAAGGAAGGACAAGGAGAAAAATCAAAAGAAGAGAACCTTACCTTCGAAGAGAAGAAGATCTCCGACGGTGGCAGCGGCAGACTTCGCGTCGGCGTCGGCGGCGGACTTCGACTGGGTAGAGGAGGCGGACTTCGCGTCAACGGCGGCAGGCTTTGAAGGTTTGGCCCTTCATGTGCGAAGGGAAAGAAGAAGAAGTTGGGTAGGGGAAGTAGATGCGTAGGGGGAGGAAGGAGACGCGTAGGGGGAGAGGAGAAGAAAGAATCGGCTGGGGAGAGAAGAAATAAGGCGTAGGTGTAGGGAAAGAAAATAGGGGCAGATGGGTAATTCAGTCCTATTTAGGGCAAAAAAATAAGTATACTCCTATTTAGGAATTTCAGGAATAGTTTAATTCCATTTAGGGCAAAAAAAAACCTTAGGATATTTTAATTTGAACTGTTTTATACTCCGTACCATATACAGTGACCAGACCCGCTGCAAACATTTTTAACATGGGGTTGCTTTGCGCACCCCAATCTTGCTAAACGTAACCATGCTCTGACAATCTTGTCCTTTTAATTGTTAAATTCAAATTAATTATTAAGAAGTAAAATTTACGTTGTGTTCTCGCGCATGGTTCTTGTAGATTAGTTGGCTGCACATATCAATTTTAGATTTACTCTTCTCCAATAATGTGTTGTCAACTTGTCATGTGGCAAATACTTTTTTTATATATAAAATGTTATAACTTTTGCATTTTGTCCCAATTTTTATAAAAGTTATATCAAATTAAATAATTTTTTGCTAGCTTTAATATGACACCAATATCATATATGTAAAAATTTAAAAAAAAAATCAGATCAGGTCTTGGGAACGATCGATAAATGTGTATTTACTACTCCGTATTATGTAAATCAAGACTAGTCTGATTTGTTTTTTTTGAATTTATCTGGATCAAAATCAGTTCAATTAAAAATATCTTAGATATCATTCATATCCTAAATCTAATCGTGTGACATATACGACCTTAATGCCGAATCTGCATGGTGCCGATTGAGTTTTAAAAGGCGGGACCATCCACTATTGAATTTAATCAAACAAATAAAAAATGAGGATAATCACTTTACTAGAATTAAAAAATGTTACTTTTTTAAATATATAATCCACTATAAAATTGTGCAGTTGAAAACAAAACATTTATGTTTTTATAATAATAATAATAATTGAGTAGTAATAATAAATAATTAGTAATAATGTTTGAGTAGAAGTAGTAGTAATAATAATAATAATAATAATAATAATAATAATAATAATAATAATAATAATAATAATAATAATAATAATAATAATAATAATAATAATAATAATAATAATAATAATAATAATAATTACTTTATTGTAGTTGAGAAGCCCTTGCTAGCAAAACCTGCTAGCTATAATTTGAAGAAAAATGATAGGATCACTGGTTTAATATTTTCAATTTTTCATACTTCAGTATACGAAGTACTCCCTCCGTCCCTTATAACTTTGTCAACTTTCCTTTTTTGGATGTCCCAATAACTTTGCCACTTTCCCATTTAAGTAAAGAATTTGTGGTTCCAGTCAATTCTCTCTTCTCTGCACAAACCTCAACCACACAGTTTTTACTTTATTAATTCCCGTGCCGGTCAAACTTGGCAAAGTTATTAGGGACGAAGGGAGTATGGACTACGGAGTACTGGAGTTAGGGCTGGGCACGGGGCGGGTCGGGGCGGGTAATGCAAAATAAAATGGAACCGCCGGTTCCATTGTACGGTTCGGTCCGGTCCGGGTATTCCAATTTTCAAAATAGGAACCGGACCTTACCCGGCCCGTTTGAAACGGGTCGGTCCGGTCCGGGTTTTACGGTTTCTATTCTCATGTCTTAAAATTAGTAAAAACTCACGAAGTTCCAAAAATCAATAATCAATAATATAGGACATTAGCAAGTTTCAAAACAAAAACATAGTGGTGCACACGTAACACAAACGACAAGTCCAATACTCCATAATTTCATGTATATAAGTTTCAAACAATTAAAGAAATTCTAAAAATATGCAACATAGCCAAAATACATATTTTCTAACATTTGTATTTAAACATGTTGTCTAAAGAAATTCCAAAAATATGCAACATAGCCAATATAAGTGATTGCTTTTTTTAATTAAATTTTCAGTATTAGCCAAAGTTGACACACACATGGTGGGTGGTAAACACAATTTATATATTTTAAGAACAATATTATAAAAAAAATATAACAAAATCATTTTTAACAAATAATTAAACTCCATAGAAAGGAATAACTCAATAACAATAAAAAGTAATAAGATATTTATGAAAAATTTAATCAATAATTTGAAAACAAAAGGATGTTATTGCAACTCAATTTAAAATCATACTTCTAGCAAAGGAAACAAAACTATTTCAAAACCGATTATCACAAAACTATTAATAAATTAATATACAATATATATAACGGGCCGGGCCGGGTACCCGTTATTTTTTAATTTTGGAACCGGTCCGATTCTTTAAAAAAAATTACCCGACCCTACCCGGACCGTTTTATGGCAACAAAAAATGGAACCGGCCCGTTTTGGACCCGAACCGCCATTACCCGGACCGGACCGCGGTTCCAAGACCCGTTTGCCCACCCCTAACTGGAGTACCACTTATGCGGTCAAGGTTACTAGGTTGGTCACATTCGATAAAAATTACTCCGTAGTATGGGTGGGCTGGGAAACGAGAAAAAAAAAAGGACAAATTAGTCCATTTAAGCTGAATTGTGGGTGCGAATAGCAAAAGTTGGGGTGCGCAGAGCACGTCCGTTTTTAACACAAACCTTCCTAAACACGCCCTCAGCCATCCAGCCTCGGACAGTCGGCGAAGGAAAGACTCACGCCTCACGGATAGGAAACTGATGCTACAGATTGCTGAATAACCTCTCACGCCTCTGTAAATTAGCGATTCAGTGATTAGTTTTCTCAATTCTCAGGCTGTACAGGTACGTCCCTTCTGCTACCCTCGTATGTTTTCATTTACTTATTAAAACTTTTTACTTTTTATATTATCATTATATAATAACTATAGATCTGTAGTTATTCGATGTATGTTTTCATAATAATTATTCGATGTGTACAATTATGAAAATGTGATTTGTGAATGTGCTAAGTGACCCTGTCTTCGAATCTTCGGTTATGCATTTGAAAATTTTATAAAAAAACGTTTCGTGTTACCTTTTTATGAAAACTTGTTTCTTAAAAGATAGTGAATTTGTGTTAGGGTTATTGTTAGTTTTATTAAATTTAATTAGTTTCAAGGAGTAAAATTTATAACAAACTTGAATGCATAGCACAGTTTTTTTATCACCTTGCTTTATTAACGAACATTCATATCATATAAATTCATGTTTGTGTTTCTGTTATAAGGCCTTTTTTATTTTTCATCTGAATGGCATCTAGAAGAAATTGATAAGTTTGTTCAGTGATCTACTCGATGAAGAACATAAAAGGTGTTAAAGTTTTTGGATAAGCATTTCATAAGATGGGTGGAGATCATGCATTATACAATTCGAAAGTAGGTTGAATTGTATAGACATTAGGGGTGGGATCGGTCCGGTCGGGTTTTTACTAAATCCGGAAATTACCCGGAAGGTATCAGGTTATGAAAATTAGGGACCGGAACAAAGCCCATTATATTCGGTCCGAGTCGGGTTTTTGGTAGCCCGGGTTCGGTCCGGGTTCGGGTTGGGCCGGTTAAAGCCTGAACGTGAAATATGTCATTGTTCTTTTATATTTTAACACCTATTTTAACAACAAATGGAGAACCATAACCATCAAGCATAATGATATCACATAACTTTAAATATTCATAGTTTTCTTTCATTCAAATGCAGGCTACATCAAAGTCCCCTTATGTGCAGATGTGCTTTTGAATGATGTGTGTGCTTTTTTTGTAAAGTAACATTGATATGTGTTAAGCTTATATTTTTTTAGTAAATTGGGGTAGAATTCTTTGCTTATTATTTCTATTTAACAGGCATCAAAGCCATTGACGAATGTTATTCTGGTGAACCAAGTCAACCAACTACATTCTCTACTTGACACCTTTCTGATTGCAATCACAAGTCAAATTTGATGGGGAAAAATGACTTCTTGACCCCCAAAGCCATCGCGAACAGAATTAAAGCAAAAGGTCTGCAGAAGCTCCGATGGTATTGCCAGATGTGCGAAAAACAATGCCGGGATGAGAACGGATTTAAATGCCACTGTATGAGCGAGTCCCACCAGCGCCAGATGGAGGTGTTTGGGCAGAACCCTAACCGGATCGTCAGTGGCTACTCAGAGGAGTTTGAGAGTGCGTTCCTTGAACACATGAAGAGAAGCCACCGGTTTAGCCGTGTGGCTGCCACGGTTGTGTACAATGAGTATATAGCTGATCGCCAACACATTCATATGAATTCTACGGAGTGGGCAACTTTGACAGAGTTTGTCAAGTACTTAGGCAGGACTGGGAAGTGTAAAGTTGATGAGACTCCAAAGGGGTGGTTTATAACTTATATAGATAGGGACTCCGAGACTCTTTTCAAGGAGAAGATGAAAAGCAAACGAGTCAAGGCTGACATAGCAGAGGAAGAGAAGCAAGAGAGAGCGATTAAGAGACAGAGAGAGAAGGCAGAAGAGTTGATGGGGGGTGGTATCTCAACAGACGAGATTAATGACTCTTCTGAACGGAAATTACTGGAGAAGAAGTTGGATGGTTGTGATCAGAAGGTGAAGTTGTCTTTGGGCCCATCATTGAAACCCACTAATGAAAAAGACAGACCTGAAAGCTGTTCAATATCTGTTTTTGACGCGATGAATTATCATCAGAACACGACTGGAGATGGGAGTGCATCAAAATTGGGTGGAAAGAGTGGTTTTGGAGGGGTAAGTGGTGGGGGTGTGTTGGATGAGCTGATGAGAGAGGAAGAACAAGCAAAGGAAAAGCAAAACAGGAAGGATTATTGGTTATGTGAGGGAATAGTGGTGAAAGTTATGAGCAAGGGGTTGGCTAATAAGGATGCATATTATAAGAAAAAGGGTGTCATTAGGAGGGTAATTGATAAGTATGTTGGTGAAATTGAAATTCTTGAAAATAAGCACATACTGAGAGTTGATCAGGAAGAGCTTGAAACTGTGATCCCCCAAATTGGTGGTCTTGTGAGGATAGTCAACGGGGCTTACCGTGGATCAAATGCTAGGTTGTTAGCCATAGATACTGATCATTTCTCTGCCAAGCTGAAAATTGAGAAGGGTATATATGATGGCAAGGTTCTTAAGGCTATTGACTACGAAGATATTTGCAAATTGGGTGTGTAATGACACAAACTCGATGAGAGCTTGCCCACTTCCAGCAGTTGCGCATCTGCTTTCTTTCTGGATGATTTATGGTTTTGTAACTTTTGGTGTATGCACTTTTCTAAACTGAATCATCAATCCTCTGTTCACAATTGTAAAAACATTTCAAACATCAAAGTCAACGGCTCTTGCTTAAATTGGCTTATCAATTCCAAACATTTTCATTTTTGGACCTATTGTTTTGTGATTGGGACACTTTTGGTCATTTTGCCTAGTGATGGTGATACTTTTAATTTCCCAATTGTGACACCAATATTTGTTTTCAAATGATTGTAATGAAATTCAAACAGAGCATTAAAATTGTAACTCTCACAACAGTGAACAGTCTGGGACTAAGAACGATGTATCATTTATTTGATCTCAATTGCAAGGAATTCATTTTGCTTGGTTGCTCAGGATGGATCTTTTCATTCTCTCAGCTTCTCTTGGCATGTAAATTAGGTTGGGGATTTGATGTTCAATCTCAGTTGGTTCAATGAGATGATGGGATCTTATGGCAGTTTATCTCCAAGTAAATAGTCATGGCATCAATTAATATTTTAGATGAATTTAGTTGGAATGTTTTATGTGTAGTCCTTCTGGCACCAACAGTTTATGCATGCCATGGAACCTTTATAACCACTAGTCCAAGACTCCAAGCTATTCCTGGAACCGTCATATTTGGGTTTCTATGGCTTTCAAGTCCATATTTACAAATATGGATGTCACGTTATGATTATAAATAATCTTCAGATCGTTTGATCACATGTGACGATAAGCACTGATATATGCATAGCAGGAGATCGTCTAATTTGTTAACAAGTTGTACATTTGTACTATTAGTACTTTATTTCACAAAATTTGCCAATTTTCCTTATTTAGCCGTTTCAATAAATTTTGTCAATTTCATTTAAAATAATAAGCATGTAGTTTAGAAGTATTTACATCTTTTTTTCATAAATCTAGTATAAAATAACAAAACATAAATTATACTTTGTGATATCCTAAGGCATATTTCAGCACTTCAATGGGTGTTAATGGTATTCATGTAGGGTAGATTCTATGGTACCCATAAGGTACCATACCTTTGTACACGTGGACCACTCAGAATATTGCAGTTGAATTATTTAAGTCTAAATTAAAAATGATATACCTATTTGGACCAATCAAATTCTCACCTTCATGTAGAATCATGTTAATCCTATTATGAGTCAATCATGAATGGTAGCAGATCCCTGCTCACGAAAAGCTTTCGTATTTGAGTTAACTTTTGCCAATGTCCAATGATCATAGAATCGTGTTGCTTATTTGATTTCTAGGGCAGCAATTTCTTTATTAGATTTTGAGGAGTAATTTTGTATATGATTAATTAAACTAGGGAAAAGGGTCAAATAGGCCCTCGAACTTACATAAAAAGGTCAGATAAGCCTGTTATATAGGAGGCTATGTCCGGCCGTCATTATTTGGGGCGCTTTTAGCTTCGTAGTTACAAGTGCAGTTATCTTTAAGAATTCATTTGAATGCCTTCCCGATTGAATTGTTAGCTGAAATTTGGTATGAGTAAACTAGACTTAATGAATAAGATGCTCAAAAAAATTCATCAAAAAATTCCACTGGGAACTGCCCCAAATGGCGACGGACGGACAAAGCCTCCTAGATAAGGGCTTATTTGTCCTTTTTATGTAAGTTCGAGGGCCTATTTGACCCTATTCCCATTAAACTATTAAGGAGACTTGCCATACAAAATACAACACTAGCAACCATAAAATAGAAGATGCCACTTCAACAGGAGTATAATATTTCACAAGGCCAGAGTACATAACACTGTATTGATCCACCCTATATCTTCACACTTATGTATACAACAATTTAACACAAGTAGCATTAACAAAGTAAATGAAAACATCTTGCCAGCAAGAGGTAGTGACTAGTGATAGAACTGTAACAATATGTTTGTATGTCACTGTCAACCATAAGAGTACATTACATTCTCATTTCCAAGGAGCCATTTACTTGGTTGGATGTGGATCCTTCCCAAACCCCATCATAGCATGGGTTGCAAACATCGACGCTCTGCGAGAAAGCTCAAATATCCTCCCAACAACCGGTACCTTAACTGTTTTCCGACTTCGTGGCGGTTTCTTGTCCCACCTGTATATATTTAACTGCTAGTTAAACAGATATAAAAGCTTGTATAACACGTAAACACGGATATTAAGATTTTGAGTTCCACATTTGAAAAACATTCGAACACTATACATTGATTACAGGAGGTTTTCAAGGTCTTAAATGTGGTTGCCTATGTGAGTTTATAGGTATTCTGCAGAGTGTATCCATATAGGGACCTTTTTCCGTGTCTTATTAAACCAGTGCCTTTTTACTGAAAATGGGACATTACTTTGAAGACAAGAATTATACTACTAATAATATATTGGGGAAAATTGATTCACTGTTGGAAGGTGATAACTTGAAAGGGAAACCAGCACCGCTTACTAGAAAAGGAAAGTGCTTTGAAATAAAGCGTGTGGTGCAAGATCTAGTCCAAGTATAGATAGAACTCAGCAGAAGGGAAGTGAACACATACTGTGATAGCAGGGAAGCATAACACATTGCAACAAAATCAGTTTTCCATGAGAGAATGAATCATACATTCATGCTGAAGTGTATGACCATTTTGTGTTCTTCGAGCTGAATATGTCCTATGTGGACTTAGCGGGCATATATTTTGACTGAAGATAAGGAAAGGAACAGTCCAATTTTTTGAACCTCCATGTTAAGAAACTTTTCAACAAAATACTTTATGACATTTTCAAGTTCAACTTGTTGCATTATGAAACAGTCTTCTAAATGATATCCTCCTTTAGCTATTTCATTAAGATGTAATTAGCATTTTAATGCAACAACTAAGATTAGTCTTAAAAGCTAAAAGCTAGTAGATGCGAGTACCAATCTTCATGGCGGACGACCTTTCCTCCTTCCGTATATAGCTTGATGAGAGATATCATATGAATATCCCTCCCCCAGAACTTGTAGTATTGCTTGTTATCAATTAGTATCTGAAACAATAAAGAACAGTCAGAGGGTTAAAGATAGCCACACATGTTCTTTTGTTCTATGGGGAATTGCAATTTCAACCTCTTTCTTTCCAGGTGATATATCGTTCTCTGTGATGCTGTAATCCACTATCCTTGATTCACTGAAGACCTATAAATGTTATTTTGGGAAACAATTACTCGAAAAGTGCCCATATATAAAAATAAAAACTACGAAGTGCCTTATGGATTACTTGATCTAATATACCCCCCTATGGAAAGAAAATAGGAATCTTATCTTATTTCTAATACTATCAGTGCGGTGTGGTCTGAGGTCGAATTACTCAGGAATCTGATTCAACGAGTGCCACTTAACATTTCGTGGATCTTAACACTTTCACTAATTAAAAGCAGTTAAATTCAAAATGGCCTGGTTCTCCAATGGGGTGGCAGGGCTGTTATAGTCCCACACCAAACAAGTAATAAACAATCCTTTAGTGATGGGTAAATAAAATATCTGAGTTGAGTTATTTAATAGAGAAACTGATGGGTTACTAAGGGCTTAAGTTGAATTAGGTCATAGATCAGATTCAATCTTTTCGTGCAGCTTGGTCCAAGTGTCTAATGGCCCAGTTAAGCGACCCAACCCAATCCTTTTAATATCTGGGGAAGCTTTGAACCTAGGCCGGAATCTTTAGAGAGAAAATTTGTATATCCTAATTTCTGAATTAGTACATAGGGTCTAAGCACCTAACCCACATTAATATGGTGTCACCACACCATAAGCAAAGATAGATTCATCAGTGAAGAAATGATTATACCTTGCCTAGTGAATAGAATGATGATTTTATCTGCTTTACCCTGCAATTTGGAAGTAAAATTTAAATTCATGCAATTGAACATAGATTATGTAACATTATAGGCAGCATAGGTTCCAAATCTACTAGAATAGTAGGAAATCGAAACTACTATGAATAAATGGCATAAAAAGTCAAACATGGTATTATTACATCCTCATACAATTTGTTCTACAACTTAACAGGCATGCTCAAACTCTTTTTTCACACAAGAACTAAGACATGAAATCCCTGCGGGTTAGATAAGTGCCACCAATTTCTCATTTATGCAATAAACAATAAGTTCCGCATCCATACTTCACAAATATAATTTATAACGCATTTCATATCAGTGAGCTTTTCCATCATTTCCAATGGAGCTAAAGACTCACTATTTTTTGGCTTGGGAATATGATGGAATAAAGCAAAATGGCTCACTAAACTGTCTATGTTTCTTTATTATGAAAAAGCAATTGATCAATGCAATTTTCGAAGCGATTTTCATCATGTGTCATCTGGAAACAATCTCCCTATGCTTTAGTACAAGGGTAAGGCTGCGTACATCCGACCCCCCCTTATCAGTGAGCTTTTGTTGCATCAACATTAAAATCATGCACATGCGCCTCAATACTCTGATTACTTCTCATAGAAACATATCATACTCACTCTGTTAATCTGTTCAACCATTTTAGTCATTTACGGATAGGAGACAAATTAAGAAACTCATTAAAAATCCTATAATCTTGGAAAAAGTATACCCTCTTCCGTCCCATAAAAAAGAAGCTGTTTCACAAACTTTTTTGTTAAAAAAGGTTACAAAAGTTAAATTCCTTGTTCAATAAAATTTCTGTGAAACCAAACAATGAGAAATTTTACTCAATTGCGCCAAACAATCTTGGAGGTAAGTTTTGGGGTACTGATGAGTCGACGACCGTTCATAACTTGTAGTCTTGTATCAAACTTGTACTGCCTTAATTGAGATAAATAAAAGGTGTACCTTGCTCAAACGAAACTCTTTTTATTGGGACAGAGAGAGCAGTATTATAATCAAACTACACTTCACATATGCTTCTTTATGGATATGAATTGTTACTAAATGCTCTTCTGATTTTATATTTTTCAAGTGACAGATTTGTGAAACAATTCTTTTAAGGGCTTTGCAAGAGTGACAAATAATATTAAAGTGAATGTGACAAAGTTTTTCAGAAAACCAAACAGTGGAAGTTGGCAAAATTTAGTGGGACCTAGGGAGCAATTGGTTTGAGAAGCAAATAGACATGGCGAAACTCGAATTTCCACTTCGTCAAAACAGTACAATGAAACATCAATTCATATGCCGAAAGTTAATTATGGCAAAACAAGTAGTGTTTACAGTAAGCATACCCGTGTGCACACATAAGGGGATCTTCAAAGGTTGCATCCGGAACATAGATTTCAAAATCTTTAGGTGTGGCCTTAGATGCATATCTGCAACCATGTTGAACAGATAGTATACATAAGCAACACTAGGAGTATTAGCATACTGGTTGGTAAATCTATAATAAAAACTAGTGGCAGCTGATAAATCAATCTTAGAAACAAACAAATGAGCTAATCCCACTTTTGTTAATGTTTGACTCCATACTATGCAACTTTGCTTTTGATGACATTATTAGGTGCACTCTGCACATACGTTTAAAATATTTCACAAGTTTCAAACAAGGTGCTTACCTTAGCTTCATAAAAAAATAAAAGAAATTTATATGAAAAGCCAGCCTGATAGACAGAAAGGATTTTATTCTTAGTTTACTACCTTCATCAATACATACACACCAATAGTTGTTGTTCTAAGATATTCAGAGTATGTTTCAACTTATATACTTAGAGCTTATAGGAGTAAGAGTTTTCAAATAAAAGCTTATATAAATATTAAATAAGGTGTAGAAGTTTTCCTACAAAGTTACTTTTGTTTGGTTTTGAGTTAAAAATACCCTACACTCTAAAATTAAGAATGCTTATCCTGTCACAACTTACAAATGATAATAATTGAGATTTCAGGTTCAGGTGCGCATCTAAATTGAGCTCAAGCCCAGTGCAACCTAAAATTTTCTTATTTTGTAAGTGTAAATTGTTTCATTTACAATTTCTGGAACATGTTCAAATTAGAAATATGAAGAATGAAAATAAGGTCTATTACTTTCAACATGTGTTTTAGCGGAAAACAAGCCAAACACTCGTTTTGTTAATAGTGATAAGTGGCTTTGAGTTAAATCAGCACTTTGAATTCTACTTAAAGACACAACCAAATACAACCTCAATCTAGACAGTGTTTTGTATACTCCCTAGTCATATACCCCATAAGTGGAACAGCCATTACTAAATACACTCACAAGACTTCAATTCTACACTTTACCCAAGGAAAAAAGTTCTACTCATAACACATTCAAGTTTTAAAAATACCTCTGCTCTAAGCTCTATCTAAACAATCCAAACATTCATTAATGGTACCCAACCAAGACCATCTCAGACATTAGACCCCAAGACTAAAACCTTTTCATACCAAAGGAAAATACATTAAAGGAAATTATAATTTACGTTCAACATTGACACATTCAAGAAAGTAGGGATTGGTGGGCCAGGATGGCCTAAAGAAAGATGATGGCCTGTTCGAGCAGACCAATCTTAAAATTTGTGGGTTCCCTGTCAAGTCTAGTCAGACCTATTCATATAATCTGCACTTAAAAATTATACTCCGTACGGAGTACCAAAACTAGGACTCTCATCTTAAAAGACCAATGGTAGGAGTTTACATTCTAGCATTTGGTCTCTGGTATTGGATACGACAATTTCTTCATTCGCGTGTAAAACATATAGAGGAGAATTTGGGGGGAATGCACTAAATAAAACATTATATGGAAGAAAGTATAAAAAACATATCCAATTCTCTCTCTAAAAGAAAACTTACAGATTGAGAATATGAGGGAGTATATCTTTCGAAGCAGGTCCTACGCCAGAGGAATTATACTCGGGCGTCTCCTTTGCTTCCGAAGAATAACCTTCACCAAACACAGCATCAGCAAAAACCCACACTAACCCTCAGGCCTCAACCATTTCTTAGTAAAAAAAGGTAAAAGGTCAAAACTTTTTTAATGAGAAGAGAAAGAAAACATGGCAAAGTTTGAACCTTTATCCATGGTGAGTAGTGTATATGACGAATTAAAGATCTTCTTGGTGTTGAGCAGCGGTGGAGTAGGAGCAGTGGTTGCCAGATAGCCCAAATAATACGGAGGGCTAAGAAAGGAAGGAAGAGAACGCACGAAAGAGACGCCACGTGGAAGACGCAGGGCCATGTGACTTGCCATTTTCAGTCATTGTTATTGACTTGATAGATTCTAGACTTGAAGGGCAAGACGGCTAGACCCGCGTAGAAAAACTTTCAAACGAGTAAAAATAGAGAAAATTCCTTTTGTGCACGCCAAGTTTTAGACGCTGGGTTACACGCCGATCAAATTATGTGTGTATAGACAATTTGACCGGTTATATAGACAATTTGACCGACGTTTTATGAAGAAAACTGATTTTCACACAAAAAAAATAAAAAAAATGTTTGTATCACAAACAATTTATGAAAAGTTCCGGTCTAAAATGTCTGTGATAGATAATTAGTGTGTTCAACTGTTCAAGTAAATTGTTTGATTTATGATCAACTGTTGAGTTGTAAAATAGTCATGTTTACTTCATACTCCGTATAATTTAAAGGAAAAATTGAAAATAATAAACTCAATTATTGTCGGTCCGCTAACAATAATCTCAACTATTGATTATTTTTGTATAATCCCAACTATATAGACCGTCCGCCAATAATGGTCCATGACCAGATATTACCTCCTATAACAACTAACAAGTGGATTTTAAATAAAAATTAAGCGTAAAAATTAAAAGTTGGGATTATTTTTAGGGATTACTTGCTATATCTCATCTCATCCATTTTAGAAACTACAAGAATTTATTTACAGGGACCATTATTGGCGGAAGGTCCCTAAAGTTGGGTGATGGAGTATATGGCCCAGGAACCCCCGGCCCATAGACTCCTACTTCTCCCACACAGGCCCATTGAGCCCATAGAGCATCCGAGGCCCAAATACGATGACCCAAGTTCAAGGAAGCCCAAAATACACACTGGGGCGCCTTCGGCCACCTTGGCCGAAGGCTCCAAAACTTACAGGATAGCCATTTTCGGCATACGAAGCTACTGGGAGAAAACGGCAGAAAACAGGAGCCTTCGACACTGTTGAGCCCTCAGCATCAGAGAAGCTTTCGACTGAACCAAGCCTTCGGCTACACAGAGCCCTCGGCCACGCGAAGCCCTCGGCTATGCAAGGAGCCTTCGGCTAACAGACTCAATCATCGAAAATTCCCTTTGGAGACAGCCAACCACCGCATTTAATGCGGCGTCATATCCACCCACCGCATTCAATGCGATGAACATGCCACTGCCGGTGCCACCCGTTTGATGTGACCCTTCGGCCGTTGGATTACTGACACGTGTGCTCTCATCGCATTTATTGCTGCTATAAATAGCAGCCCATTTCTCCTTGTAAACGATCCCAGATCCACATCCCAACACATCTCGAGTTCATTTAATAAATTGACTCTCTCTTCTCCTATTTTGCTCTGACTTCTCTCTAGTTATTCCCGCAATAACCCTTCGGGTAAGATACCCCCCGGGTAGACTATCCATCATTGGGATTATTCTAGAATAATCAATAGTTGAGATTATTATGAGCGGACCGCCAATAGTTGGGATTATTACTTTCACTTTTTCCTAATTTAAATGCAATTTACTTTCAAAAAATGCAATTTAATATTAAAATGTTATAAATAAGTCTATATATTTGATACGCAGTATGCATGTATACAATGTAGTGTAAGGTAATATTTCATCCGTTCTTTAAAAGTTGCAACATTAAGATTTTTGCACTATTGATACATCATACTTTGATTATGATTTTCTACTAATATATATGATCAAACTATTATGTACAAAATTTTACGTAGTATTAAATTTCTTTTTTTTTTACAATAATTTTATTAAATTTCTATTTATGTAAATTTCAAAAATATTGACTTTTTATAATGTTTACTAATACGCAATTTAATATAATTACGGTCAAAATTGTGAGTTGACAAACGTAAAAGTCAAATATTGTACAGAGTAACTTTTAAAGAACGAAAGATAGTATAAATGTAGTAACGTAGGGGCGGCCCTAGGGGACAAAAGATGGTGGCCCCAGGTCCAAGAAAAATGACAAAACTAGGTTCGTGTTTAATTCTTTATAATAAGTATGAGTAGATTGATTTTTCAATCTCAAACTAATAATTTTTCGGGTAGAACTTTTTGAAGTGCTTTTGGGTGGAGTTTTTTATGAACATGTTCATTATAAAGTGTAGAATATGTCCACACAATTTCAGTTTCAAATTCAATCTATAAGTCAGTTAAATAAATTATTGAAAACTATTGTGTTCTTATGCATATTATAGCGTAATGTTTTTCAATAATTTATTTAACGACCTTCCCATTGAGTTTTAAACTGAATTTTTGTGAACATAATCTAAATTTGATGAAAAGCATGCTCACAAAATTTCATAAAACAATTACACTTGAAAGCATATATATATAAGTCTGATGTGATTATTTGATTAGTTTACTAATTGATTTCATTCATCATTGATTGTTTGATTTCTTGATTTTTTATTGTTGTCTATTGGATGTTGGTGTTATAATTTGTTGGTTTTGTTAGACAAAAATTTCAAATTATAATTAAATTTATAAATTTAAATACATTCAAGGTGTAATAAAAATGATTGAATTTGAAAAAGATAAAGATAAAAAAGAGGAGAAAATTAGATAAAGCGACGCTAATTAAGTAAAAAAAGTTTGAAAAGTTTGTATGTATAAAGAAGTTAAATTTTGAATATCCTCAAGATGAGAACTCTGAAAAGAAGAATTATTTAGCTACCGAAAATAAAATGATTCAAACTGATCACACCATTGGAGGGTAGAATTTAGGAGTCAATAATAAAGAGTTAATTCCTTAAAAAAGACTAAAATATAGGTAAAATGCACAAATAGCACCACATTACTGTTTTTATAAATGCCTTGATATATTATTATTATTATTATTACTCATGTTAATTTAAACAGAAAAGAGTTTTACATTTTTAAAAAAGTTGTGCCCATTTTAATTTCTTGCTTATAGGCCCCTTGAGACATACAAGACCCAAGGCCGGTCCTGTGCAGTTTTGGGCCTATGGGCGATATAGTATTTTGGCCTTATTTCCAAGACAAACAGTAAATTATATTATTTAAAGTAAAAATTACGGAGTATAATAAAACTAGGAGAAATTACTCTAAATACGACTCAAAACGTTTGTATATTCCAAATTAAGATTATCATGTTTTTATTCTCTAAATAGAAGTAATTAATGTTATATTTTGGCAGTATCATATTTTACACATGATAGTACGTATTTCCCGAACATGACAGTAATTACTCCTATTCAGAAAATTAACACATGACAGTCCTATTTTGAAATTCTAAAAAAAGTTATTCCTATTTCAGGAATTCTTTCTACAACTATCTAATAAAGGTTATAAAGAGCCCGTTTGGTAGCACAAAAATCGGCTGCTTTGGTCGATTCTGCTGAAATTTATGAAGTTCTGGCTGAAGTGGCTGCATTGGCTGATTCTGCTCATTTAAGAAAAAATTATTTTTAAAATATATTTCATTAATAAAATAAAGAAAAAATTATATGTAAAATAGTTAAAATGGTCATCTACAGTAACTTCAGCCAATACAGCCAGAAAAGTAACTTCAACTTTACTTTTTCAGCTTATTACACAATTCAGCGCGCGAGAGTAAAAATTACGTGTTTGGTGAAAAAGTTGGTTGATAAGCCTGATAAGCCGAAAATAGTGTTACCAAACGGCCTCAAAATAAAAAAGAAATTCACCTTCATATTACTTGAATTGCATATTTGGGCAAAAGTAACAACACATGTATCACAAAAGAACATTGTGAAGTAAAATCATAAACAATTGCTTTATAATCAATCTTTTCCAAGATCACATGTGCAATGTTTAAAATTGTTAATCCATTAAGTTTTTTGAGGCATAATAGATAATTGGGATGATGTTTGAGAATTGGGAGGCACCGGCAGCCCAAAGACAATAATATAAATTGGTAATTTTGTAATTAAAAGAATAAAAAATCTTAAAGGCTAAAAAGATGTGAAGAGACATGCTTTTATTGATTCAACAACAAATGTGTTGACTGACAACAAACTCTATTTAAAAATCAAAACTAGATATATATTCTTTTTAAAAGCTTGTCTAGCTTTGTTTAAGACTTTTTACTTATGTTTTAAAATTCTCAAATTGTCAACAAAAATTACACATTAGGCCTAATTAATTAATTGAAATTATAAATAAAAAAAGAAGCCTACTCATATTAGTATATATATTACATATAAAGAAAAAAACTTGGGTCTAATTTTCTTTCTACTTTTTTTCGAGCCTAGGGCGGTCGCCCCTGCTGCCCTCCCCCTAGGACCGGCCAGGCGGCCATCACAAGACCGGCCATGTAGTAATATATACACACATGTATGCATATATACTGGTCCGGTCCATGAATCTATGAAAAAGGTTGGGTGCCCCTCTAGGGCAAACATGATCGGTCTTACGCTCAAAACTGATATAAACGGACCTGGTTTGATTCGAAACAATGTTGGACCTGGTTCCGGATCGTGTCGGACTGTAGGACTAGGTCCACCCCTATTATTGACATATATGTATCTCGAGAAAATTGTCCAACATAGGACTAAAACTCAACCTTTTTCTCAAAATAGGACCACATGCATGTTTTTCTCTAAATAGGACTAACTTTACCTTTTTACCCCTAATTCTATTTAATTAATTAATTGATCTAAATAATTGCCCCCCTAGTTTCCTTGCACAACCAAGGCAGTCCGTCGGTGGCGGGGCAGTCCGTGGTGGCGGCAGCGGCCGGCGGCGGATTTTGGCCCCCCCTAGTTCTCTTGCACAACCAAGGCAGTCCGTTGGTAGCGGGGTAACTCCGGCAATTAATTAACCCAATTAATTGCCCCCCTAGTTCTCTTGCACAACCAAGACAGTCCGTTGGTAGTGGGGCAGTCCGGAGGTGGCGGCAGTTTGGCGGCAGCGGTTTCCGGCAGCGGTTTCCGGCGGCGGCGGCAGGTGGCGGCAGAATGTTGGCAAACCTCCAGGAAAAAAAATCTGGAATTTTTCCGGCGGCGATCGCCGGAGCTCCGGCGGCGGCGGCCGGCGGCGCCAGGCGGCATGCGGCGGTCCGGCAGTCCCTGGGCAGCAGTGGTAAA